TCAAATAGCGGGTTTGGTGCTTTTTTTGGCCATTGATTTTCAGAAGACACAGAGCCTACCTCCTCTGTTCATTTCTCTTGCCTTTGGACTGGAAATACTATTTTTAAAAATAAAAATGTAGATGAATCAGTAAAACAAAACAAATGCAATAAAACTGGGGGAAATGTCAGCTGGCTGTACAACATATTTTCTAAAGTGTGGGATGCATTTCTTTTTCACCTACTTCTTTTATTCTGGATAATACATAGTTACAGTAATTACCATGATTAAGTAATATCTGTATAAATGACTAGTTCACAAGTCAAGGTTGTTGTAATAATTCATTGAGCTAAAGATTACAGCCTCCTGCAGAATAGTGCGAGATTCTTTTGCCGTATATTAAAAATATTAATGAAGTAATATAAACAAAAATAAAGGCAGAAGCCTGCCTAAAACTAGAAAGGGAATAAAACCTTCTTCTCCAGCCACAATTTCCAAACCTCACTGTACAATCCCAGTCTTGGGGGGAAATTGGATATTAGCTTTTCAGTGTGTCCTTCTGGCTAACAGATCTGGGCTATTTTGAACTGAGAGTTCAATCCTGAATTGTGCTAAGCATGACACAGCTGAGGTGGGGGGGAGGTAACTGTTTCCATCCTCTCCTGAGACAACCGAGACCAAAATCTCTTTCTCACACACACACTTTCCCGATCTCTACACATTTCCTACGATAGGACGGTGTAGGGCAACCCTTAACTGTATCTTTAGGGCAGCTAACCAACTGCTTTGCAACATAACACATCTGGAGCTGAACATCTAGCTAGCTTTATGTGGGTGAGTGAATTCTAAAGTTCAGGAAAATGCCCTGCTAGTAACTGCTAGATTACTTTAACCGTGGCTGTATGAGGGAGAAAAGTGGCGTTAAAGATGCAGGCCCTGTTAGGCACATTGAAGTCTTTATAACACAAAGCTTATCTATAAAAATAAAAATCCCTGCATCATAATAATATAGATATACTGTTATAAAGTACCCCTTTTTTAAAAAAAAATTATAATACCCCTAGTACCTACTTCGGTCACACAACATTTTTTCTACCAATGCAACACATTTGTTTAAACAACTTAATCATAGCCAGGCGGGTGATGAAATTTTTGAGTGTAAAAAGTACAAAAATAATAAAGCGCTGTAAAACTTAAAACAAAAATTCAGTTTTCTCCAAATTTCAGTTGTGTTGACATACCCCCAGACTTCTCTTGAGTACCCCTAAAGGTTCTCGTACCACTGGTTGAGAAACACTGTTCTACGTTAGTGATTTACAGATGTGAATGAATTTATCTTTGTAAGAAGTCTGCAAGGGAACTGACAGACTTGCCGGGACCCTGGGCAATGTGGGGGACAGAGAGGGTTGCCAGATGGTTTCAACAAAAATACCGGACACACTTGATGTTACATCACAATCTACATTACATCTTATTTAAAAAATACTGGACATTTATATTTTCTTAATTTGTTTCCTGAACAGAAAGCTCAAATACTGGATGCTCCGGTTCAAAACTGGACACCGGGCAACCCTAGGGACAGAGGGAGTGGAAGGTGTGGGGCCTTGGATGAAAGGTGTGAGGCTGGAGGCAACCAGCTCTCAGCAGCACTTGGACTATGTCGTGCCGTCCACTCCCTCCCCCTGCCAGTCCTCAGAGCCATCTGGCGCATGTTGCATAGATTCATAGAATCATAGAATACTAGGACTGGAAGGGAGCTCAAGAGGCCATGGCAGGACCCAGTACTGTCTAGACCATCCCTGATAGACATTTATCTAACTTACTCTTAAATATCTCCAGAGATGGAGATTTCACAACCTCTCTAGCAGGGCCGGCTCTAGGTTTTTTGCCTCCCCCCCCCTTTTTTTTGTTGGCTTTTACACATGTTTGCACTTTGCAATGTTTTTTTGTTGTTGTTGTTTTCATTTTCGTTTTTGTCCTGGCATTTTAGCCCTATAAATAGCAAATATAATTTTAATTATTTTTTTTCCATAAAGGCAAAGGTGCTTCAAATAAACTCCCCCTCCTCTTTCACTCGCTGCTGGATCACAACAGCCTTTTTCCTGCCCTGTCCAGCCCCTCCCTATGTACAAGCACCCCTCACTCTTGACCCACAGGGGGAGCAGGGTGCAGGGACAGCGCAGAGCCAGATGGGCATGGGGAACAGGGGGAGCAGGGTTCACCATGGGGAATGGGAGGTGCAGAGCCAGAGGGGTGCAAGGATCGGGGGAAGCAGGGAGACTGGGGTGCTGGGGGGCACAGAGCCAGAGAGGTGTGGGGAACAGTGGGGGGGGGGGTACAGGGGTGGCGTGGGGAACGGGAGGCACAGAGCCAGAGGGATGCAGGGTGCGGGGTAGGCATGAGGAATGGGATGTGGGGAACGGGAGGGGCAAAGGGATCAGGGTCTAGGGGCAGTGCAGGGAATGGGCAGCACAGAGCTGGGGGGGCAGGGATTGGAGGGGAGCAGGGTGAAAGGGTGGCGCAGAGCCAGAGAGTTGCAGGGAAGAGGGAAAGCAGGGGGTCCAGGGTGCAGGGGAGTAGGGGCGGCGTGGGGGAACGGACGGCGCGGAGACAAAGGAGAGTGGGCAGGTGCAGCAAGCCGGGTGGTCGGCTGGGAGCAGGCTCTCACCGGCGAGGAGGTTGGGGCCGTGGCAGGACTGGAGCCAGCGAGGTGGGGCAGGGCTGCACTGCAGCCAGCTCCCGGGGCCACGCAGCCAGAGCCGAACTGCCGCAGCCCTTTGAAATCAGCGGGGCCATGTCACACCAGCATCCTGGCGTCTGCCAGCGTCCCGCCCTCTGGCTCGTGCCCCGCCTCCTCGCACCTGAGCTGCACACAGGTAGCCCGGCGCTGAGAATCACTGTGCTTCCCCCTTCCCGTCGGCACTCCACTCCTCCACCCGGCTGGGTGACGTGTTAAAGAAGTATTTTTTTCAGTAACTTAAATATTGCTCCTTGGAAGTGCTAGTTTTGGAACACACAAGGACAGATCTTACTTTCACTTTAAGTAACATGCAATAGATGGTTCAAGATCTGAGTTGACCTGCTGCAGAATATGTACTACAGTATAATTAACTTCTACACTATCACGGGAGGAGTTGTACTGGAGCTGAGCACTTTCAAACAATTAATTTCATGGGGGCGGGATTTAAAAAGAAATCTAGACAAAAAGAAGCTAAAGTAAAAAAAGAGGGAATTAAATTCCTTAGATTTTGGACATAGGCCAGCACTGCCCATCTCAAAACCACGTCAGCCTAAGCCTTAGCACATCTCAGGGCAGGAAAACACGTTTGCTGTGTCTACATTGGCATGATCTTGCGCAAATACTCTTTAACGCAAGAGTTCTTACTTAAAGTATTTGCGCAAGAGAGCATCTACACTGGCATGTGCTTTTGCGCAAGAGCATCCGTGTCAGTATAGACGCTCTCTTGCGCAAGAAAGCTCCGATGGCCATTTTAGCCCTCGGGCTTTCTTGTGCAAGAAATTCATATTGCCTGTCTACACTGGCCTCTTGCGCAAGAGGGCTTATTCCTGAGCGGGAGCATCATAGTTCTTGCGCAAGAAGCACTGACTTCACACATTAGAACATCATAGTTCTTGTGCAAGAGCTCCCTGCCAGTGTAGACAGGCAGCATGTTTTTGCCCCAAAGCGGCCGCTTTGGCGCAAAATTGCACCAATGTAGACACAGCCTTTGGGGCTAACAGGAAATGTTCAAAGGGTTCTTCAAACCAGCCAGGGCAAAGAGACTCAGCTCCCAGGAAAGCCCCAGGTAACACAAGGGCTGGAAGCGGAAATGCAGTGAGTGGAAGCAGACAGGCTCTGGCTCGGTGTTGTCCCTGTCTCCCTGCGGGAAGCTGGGAGCCAGGGAGACGCGCAGGCGCTCAGCACGGCGCTGCCGGGGCTGTTTTTGCAGCGGGGGTGCCGTGGCGGACACCCTCAATTTGGGCTGTTTCACTGCGTTAAGCCAGGGGGGGGGGGCAGCCCCTCCCGCCGGTTGCAGCGCCCGGGCCTGGCTCAAGAGGCCGGTTTTGGAACGAAGAGCAGCGCCCCTCCCCCGAGCCCGGAGGTGCGCGGCGCGCGGCCGGGCGGAACCTCCAGCGGCGCGGTGCGGGCGATGACGCACAACCCCGCCCCATGCAGCACAACGCTCCACCACG